AAACTCTAAGATGTTGGCAGGTCTTGTCAGCTCCAGGCAGGGAGGCCCAAGCCATGAGCCACAGGCTGCAGGAAATAGCGCTGGCACAGTGGGCACAGCAGGGGAGAGATGCAGGCGACAAGTCGACAAGTGCCAGCACCAGAGCTACTGTTCATTAACAACAGGAACGAAAGACCCAGAGACAATATGCTGTTAATCCTAGCAGCTACTCCAGGACTATAAATGGCCAGACTAGGGTCCCAGCATTTTTCAGCCCTCCTCTTCACTGCTGGAGTAAGATTGAGGATGAGTCCAGGTCCCTCACCCCCAGCCCCTTTAAAACATATATTACTGAATCTTTTCAAAATTCTAACCCCTGAAAGATTTATTCTCTAACATGGATTTGAGAAAAATACAGCCCTGAAACCTTACCATGGGGGCCAGCATGGATGCGCACTTTTTCATCCAGGCTGAGAAAGCTGGAGCATAGGACATGGAGTCAGAGGAGCTGAGCTCCTTGGCCTCCCCCCGAGACACAATGCTTTCATCTATACAATGGGACCATCACCTTTTGGACCCACCATGGTTTTGACAGTGAAATGGCAAGAAATAATGACAACACTAATTCCTAAGTACTATTGTCACCATGAGTCCCTCACATCAATCAAGAGAGGTGAAAACCTATTTTCTTGAAGTTAAAAAGGATTCTCTGTGTGTCTGGAGATTATCTTGGGGCACCAGATGAATTAGAGAGAAAAGGCTCCTATTTAAGAGACATTAAGCTCAGAGATATCACCGTGGATCACAGAAGCCCACTGCAATTCCCTCTCCTGGGGATCGCACATTCCATTCCCCACAGGACCTAACTCATTTGCAGTGAGCCAGGAACTTGAACAAAAGCCCAGGGAGCCCAGGTATGGAGCCCATCCTGTTGCCAGCGAGCACTCTTGCTCAGCAATCTTTCATCCTTCTGTCCTTAGCTCAGCCAATCCCGCCATGTGCCTACTCCAACAGTGTCCCAGGGAGTTATCTCTGAGCCTAGACTAACACAAGGGCATGATTAAGCTTCACAAGCGGGGCAGCCAAGAGAGAGCTCTTCTGTCTCCACTGTCCCCCATGCCCCAGCTCTCAGCAAAGGCTTATTGCTACCTTTGCCCAACGTGCACAGAACTCCAACAGCTCACTAGTAAACAGTGCAGCCTCCTCTTCCCTCCTGTGTAGCTCCTGGCGGGGAGTGGCAGGAGCCAAAGCAGTGGGCACTCATGAAGCATAGGCCCTATGCCAACCACCTTCCATCCTAGAAGGTTGTCTGCACACCATAAACAGCTAGCCAGTAGCTAGAACACAGCTTTTAGATTTTACTAACTGCCCAGCCTGTGCTAGGTTCTGGCCCAAGCACTAAGAACATGACAGTAACTAAAGTGGGTAAAGGTCACACTCTGCTCTTGTGGCACCCCTTTCTAGCACAGAACAGACAACAAGTGAGTGAACACATAAACAGTACCCAATGACGATGTCAGGAAAACAATACAGGGACAGAAGAGAGTGTGAGAAGAGGTAGGTGGAGAAGGCTGCTCAGGGAGGGGACATTCAGGCCAATGCATAATGATCAGAAAGCAAACATACCACACAGAGGCCACCACAGGTGCAGCAGGAAGCAGTGGAGCAGAAAGGAGGTGGTGGCTGAAAGTGGGGAGCCAGGGAAAGCAGTAACCGAGGAGGCTCAGAGGAAGGAACCAGGCTGGGGGTCCTGTGGACCTGATAATGCAAACGGCTCTTCCTCTAAGTGTTGTGGGAACCACTGAAAAGTCTTAATGTCTCGATGCACATCTCTAAAGAGAGTATACTGCCAGCTACACAGGGAATAAAGCAGATGGAAAGAGAGCAAGCAGTCCAGATCCAGAATGACAGGATTTCAGGTACCTTAAAGCAAGATCTGGCCACACCCTACAGGGCACGGTGATAAACACCTATAATTCCAGCACTCAGGAGAAGAGGCCAGCCTGGACTACACAGTGAGTTCAAGGATAGCCTGAACTACTTAGCAAGACCCTGTCTCAAAAAAAAAAAAAGAAAAAGAAAGAAAGAAAATCTGGCCACATCAAGAAGGCAAAGATGTTCATAACTTACAGCTCATGAGGACAGCTGAGGGTCTTCACTGGCCCAGCTCAGAAGCAGCAGAGTTGGTTCCAACATCAGCCCACGCACTCTACCTGCTAATCATCTGAAAGGCTAATACTCCCAACACACAGGCACACAGGCTGTCACATACATGCACATCATGGCAGCAGGCTGGGACAGAGTACATACTCAAATGCAAGCACTCTTCTGTTCAAACGGAAAGTAAATTTCTCATTCCCCAGGAAGTTGGAACTCTGACCTAAAGGAAGAATGGTAGCCACTTTAGACTCACTGTGGCAATGTACCCAGGACACACTTTGATGCTATAGGAGGTGAGAGTAAAGCAGTAAGAACAACTATGTATATGTAAGAAAAGAAAAATTCTTTTTAGGTTTTACAAACCAAGGACTTGCAAATTGTTTGGTGTTAAGGTCTATAACATTTGGTTATAGAATCAGGCCAGTAACAAACTCTGTTAGTCCCATAAAGGGTCTAACTCTGTACCTATGCTGGAAGGGATAAAGAAAGTGTGGAAAGGGCTTGGACCTTGGAATCAGGCAGACCTAGACCTTGTCACTGACCAGCTGCCTCCCTGAATCCCCATTTCCTCAATAGTCACATGAAAATCACCTCACTCCTCACAGCATTTGGCTGGGAAGTAGCAAACATTTGGGGAAGGTCAGTAAATGCCTACACAGCTCTCCTATCTACCAGTGACAGGAGGTCCAGAATTAGGTTCAAAGGTCACACAGCTGAAAGAAAGGAAAGCAGCTTTCGTGGCCTGATCTGCCCAACTTCAAAAGCATGTCCTTCGCCACTGGCCTTAATTACAGATGCTCCTTGACTCATAAAAGGCTGTGTCCCAGTAAAGGCACCAGAGGTTGAAAGGTCACTATATGGAACATGCTCTTCACTGAACCTACCGAAGACCAGTGCTGAACCCATGCACCATGTCACCACAAAGCAAAGCCTGCCCCTCCATGATCTCCCGGCACACAGCAAGCTACAGTTCACTACCACTGCCCTGAACCACAAGAATCACATTACCTTCAGCTCAGAAAAGATCAAAGTTCAAATATAGTGTCCACTGAATCTATTACTTACACACCTTTATACAGTTACAAAATCATAAGCTGAACCACTGAAAATCAAATTCTCTGTGTTCACCAGAAAGGATGACAAATTTAGCTTCCCTTTTTTTTAACCTAGGTCTTCCACTTCCAATGTAGAATGGCTTAGAATACATGTCCTAAAATGTACTTAAGTACAACAAGAAAAAATTCAATTATAAGGACAGAGGGACTGGCATGGTGGTGAATACCTGTAATCTCAGCACTCAGGAGGCTGAGGTAGGAGGGTCACCATGAGTTTAAGGACAGCCTGAGTTACATAGTGAGTTCAAAACCAACCAAAACCACAAGTGAATTCAAGACCTTGTCTCAAAAAAACAAAGGAGATTAGAGGTAGTAAAAAAAGTTTGAAAAAGGAATCACACAAACATACATCTCTCTGGAGAGATGACGGATCCAGAGCTGTCAAAATAAGACTTTTGCTTTATTTGTAATTTTCCACCTCTTCATAAGTAGCATGTCTTTCTGTATTTTCTGTAAACAGTAATTAAAGATTCATTAAGTGACACAATGTCTCACGAAGGTATTTTAGCAGTACTCTTAATAACTGAAAATATAACCTTCACCCTGGACAGGTCAGTTCCAGTTAAGCAGTAACCAAGTCTACAAGTCAAAGACATCTGCTCAATATTCACCGCAGCAGAGGTAGCAAAACACTGAGACAGAAATGAGATAGGATATTAGGGCATGACAAAACCCGGCTGGAAAAGTGGGCTGACTTGTTAATTACAACACCTTCTGGAGAACTGAGCAGGCTTTCCATAGGATGGCCTAGACCAGACCTTAGCCTGGAGCATAGGGTCCCAACACCAGCTCACAAGACCCAAATACAGAAGTAAGAGTTTTAGACAGCACAAAAGAAAGGCCGCCATAAAGAACCATGCTATTATAACTTTCCAATGATAGCCCAAGCTGTTTCACAGATGCAGCACGTACTTTTATCTTTACTGTCTCCCTCTTTTTTCTCTTTACTCAGCCCAAGATTGCTTTGCAGAGCCAGTTTCTGTCCTGCTCTTCACTTCTACTTTGTCAAATAAACTTTGCCACTGCTTTTTACTTGTTTCATTCAGTTCTTTGTTCCAGACAAGAAGAACCCATAAGGCGAGGCAAGCAACTGAATGAACCTGGTAACTTTTTAGTGGGGAGCCACTTTTTAGAAGCAAACTACCTGATAACAGAAAGGTCCATCATTAAGATATCAGGGAAGGCTAGGTATGGTGATGCTTGCCTGTAATCCCAGCACTCTAGGAAAATGAGGCAGAAGGTTTGCCAAAGTCAGGCCCAGCCTGAGCAACCTATTGATTTAGCAAGATCTGCCTCAAAATTTCAAAATTTTTAAGAGCATGGGAGTTGCTCAGTCCAGCAGCTCAGTGCAAAGGCCCTGGGACCATAAAAAACAGAAACGAGTTTCTCAGTTGAGACACTGTTGGGTGGAGTTTATAACAGGACTTTAAATGAGCTTTAAAAAGAACCGTGTCTTTTTACAGGCACAGATACAATGACCTCTCCTGACGGGGCTGAAATGGTTTATACAGGGGAGCAGAGGGATGTATACGCACACCGACATGCTTGTGTTTCCACAGAGTCCTTGTGAAAGGACACGCAGGAAATTGGGGAGTGTCTGGCATGTGAAGCACAAGCACTGTGCGTGGTGACTTCTCGCTGAATTTCCCGCGTGCCCTGCGCGGGCTGGCGTCTCTACCTCGCTCATGCGCGTGACGCGCGCGCGTTTCCGAAGGTCCCGCCCGTCCGCCCACCCGGCCCGCTCACCGCCGATGATGGTCCGGATGAGCGAGGCGTGCCCGGGGCAGTCCACCAGCGTGACCTGCAGCAGCGCCTCACCGGGCTCCGCCGCGCCGGGCAGCGGCACCGCGAAGCACGAGAAGCCCAGGTCCAGCGTGATGCCGCGCTCGCGGCTCTGCGGCTGCTTGTCGAAGGCTGCGGTGGACGCCGTGGTGCTCAGCGCCCGGGCCAGCGCCGTCTTGCCGCTGTCTATGTGGCCCAGCACGCCCACATTCACGTTCACCCGCCGCCCGGCCATCCCGCCCGCCGCTGGCGCGCCCGCCCCTCGCCCTCCTGGGTCGCGGTCCGACGCGGTAAACGGCCCCCCCCCCTCCCGGTGCCGGCGCACCAGTTCCGGCCCCGAAGTTTCCGCCTTCCCGGAGGGCACGCTGCCAGCAGGTGCCTGGGGCGAGTCCCTGGAAAGGTCACTGTGGGCGGGACCTTTGGCTCACCTGGCTCCGCCCACCTGAAGCTTCTGGAGTCCCAGATTGGACGAGGCTTCCATTCTTCATTCACTTCAGAGAATGCCTGCTAGGTACCAAACACTGCCTACTTAGTCCCAGCGCTGGGACACTGTGCCCTGGGGTTATCATAGGAATCTGGAGGCATCAGGCCACAGCCAGGAGAACTAGCAATCAAACTGGACCATCCAAGAGTGAGAAGCCTTCTGAGGAAAATAAAGCCACACATAAAGAACTGAATATAATCAGTCCTTCCAGATTTAAAGACCCAATCCAGAAATGGACATCTGAGTTGAATACACACACTGCTCAGATGAAGAAGTGCAAACAGCAAATAAATATGTGAAAAAAATGTTCAACATCATTGTTCATTCAAGAGTTGCAAATTAAAACAACACTGAGATTCCACCCTAGAAAGAATGGCTATTATTAAGAAATCAGTAACAAATGCTGGAGGGGTTGTGGGGGAAAAGAAATCCTTCTTCACTGGTGGTGGGAGTGTAGTCTGGTGCAACCACTGTGGAAATCAGTGTGAAGATTCCTCAAAAAACTAGGACTAGAGGTCCCATTTGACCCAGCTATTCCCCTTCTGGGTATCTTCCCAAAAGAATTTTAAAAATCATACCACAGCAATATGTGTGCATCTATGTTTATAGCAACACAATTTGTAATAGCTACATCTTGGAGACAACCTAAATGCCCACTGAGTAAGGAATAAATAAAAAAGATACAGTATTTTTATACAATGGAGTAGTACTCAGCCATAAAGAAAGAAAAACTGGAGACTTTTCTAGGTAAATGGATGTAACTTGAGATCACACTCAGTAAAATAAGATACATGTGTAAATATTATCTCATTAGTGTGAGAAGTGAAAAAAATTTATTTGTGTATGTATATGTATGTAAAAATAGTTGAAAGTTATACTACTGATTTCTCTGAGTTTAATGAAGAGAAGGATTTGTGCAGATATTGTTCAGCCAGTTGAATGCAGATGTCTTGTGCTCTGGGTGAATGATCTGAGGATGACAATGCGCAGTATATGTACCATTGTTGTCCCTTGATTGACCTGTTTTGAAATTTTGTTTTATTTTTTTTTCTTTTTCTCCTTGAAATAAAAGAAATTTGAAAAAACTAATTAATTAAACTGTGTCCAAAAATGGTTCTGAAGAAGTCTAGAGAGACGCAGTTACTGGATACACAGGGCTGCCTGTGGCCAGGACTGGCAGAACACACCCCAAAGCCTTCAGCAGGGCATGGCCCTACAAACCCCTTGGTTTTGGACTGTTAACTTCTAGGCTGATAAAATAAATTTCTGTTGTTTTAAGTCAAAAAAGAAAGAAAATAAATAAAACCCCACATGCAGCCCACAATTCCAGCTACTTGGGAGGCTAAGGCAGAAAGATAGTATGCTTCCAGGCCAGCCTGGGCAACTTAGCAAGACCCTATCTCAAAAAACATGCACCAAAAAAAGAGCAAAGATAAAAAGTACTTGAGTGCCAGGGGAAATAGCTACCTCTCAAACTCAAGTTCCAGTGGTGAGCAGTCAGTTATGGTGAATTCTGGGAAAGACTGGTAGAGAATACAAAGGACAGTGTCACCTGTAATTTGAGTTGTTGCCATGGGGGCCGTAGTGTGGTCTCAGGAAGGGCTGGGCTTCTAGCTGTGTGTGAAATGTGCTGTGGCTGTGCTAGATACCACAAGTCTCTTCAGAGTCCATCTGATGAGAGTCACTGCAAAGATTATCACCTACACTCAATTATCAGGTCCCAAAACTATGGTCTACTTAGGCCAGGTGGGGAACTCAAAATAGAGAAGTCACCTGGGTCTGCTATGCCCTAGGGTAGGGACAAGTCTGTCCTCTGTAAAAAAAGAAGCCATCATGCAGTCCCAGCCAGCACTTGCCAGGCAGAAATACTAGCCTGCATTTTCTGATCTTTCCAGTTTTTTCAAGAGAAAAGATTTCCATATGAAATCTCACCTTTTGCACATTGCAGACTAATTTAATTTTTAATTTAAACATCATCATGGCCAAAGGCAAAATTCACTGACTTATACTTGATAGCCAGCTTACTGATCTCAGTTTACTGATAAGGCCATATACTTTTGGAAAGTGCTCTCTGATGTCCAGGATCTGCACTGAGGTCCCTAACTTCAGCTATATTGGGTTCCCCAACTTCTTCTGTTGAAATTCTGATTCCCAGTGGGATTGATGGTATTTGAAAGTGGGGCCTTAGAAAGGCCAACTAAGATTAGATGTCATCACAAAAGGGGGGCCCTTGTGATGGGATTAGTGCCTTTTTTTTTTTTTTTTTTTTTTTTTTTTTTTTTTTTTGGTACAGTGATCCAACTCTAGACCTTGCACTTACCAGGCAGTCACTCAGGTAGCTGAGGTATATCCCCGGTCCAATTAGTGCCTTTTAAATAAGAGGCCAGGAGGGCTGGGGATGTAGTTCAGTAGTAGAGAACTTGCCTAGCATGCCCAAAGCCTTGGCTTCAATTCTCTATACTGCAAAAATTAAATTAAATTTAAAAACAAATATTGAAGTCTAGTTAACAGTATGTATGCCAGAGTACTCAGGAGGAAATATACTCTTTCTCTAACTTTAAAATCCCTCCAAAAAAATCTGATTAAGTTGGGTACCATAACATGTACCTGTAGTCCCAGATAAATAGAAGCTGAAATAGGATTGCTTGAGCCCAGGAGCTTGAGGGCCAACCTGGGCAACATAGCAAGACTGCTTCTAAACAAACACCAACATGGATTAGGGAGTGTACCTTGACTATAGCATACGTGCCTAGTACAAAGCCCTAGGTTTGATCCCTAGCACTGTAAAAACAACAGAACAAAACACCTATGTCAATGAGAGGAGGGAGGACTGGCTAGACAGACAGACACATGATGTGATAATAGAATATGGATGATGGGGGCTGGGGATTTAGCTCAGGGGCATAAAGGCCTGCCTTGCAAGCAGGCAGTAGTGAGTTCGATCCCTGGTACCGATAAAAATGAAAAAGACCAAAAAAAATAAAAAGAATATGGATGATAGATACACGTAAGTGTTCATTGTAAAATGCTCTAAATAGTACAGTACTTTTAGACATTTCATAATGAAGTTCTGGGGGAAATGAAAAATAGTCTACATTAAAAATAAGAAGTTACTGTTCTCTAACCTTATCCATATTTACAAAACTTAAAAAGTTCTGAAAACAGCACATTTTCTGACAGTTCTCAGGAAGTAAACCACAGGCTGACACGGAAGAAGTCTGGCTTCAGCTACACTGCTGCTTCCCACAAGCACTTGCATATTTTACTGCCGAAAGATTAATGTGCTTGACTACCTGATACATCATATGATGAATGCCTTATCCTCTGCATTGCCTCTTGAACAACTGAATTCTGAGACAAGCTTGGCCCCAAGAGCATCAGGTAGAGAGCTAGAAACTCAAAGATTTCCATTGACAATGGGATGTGGTGGTACACACCTGTAGTCCCAGCACTCTGCGTGGCCGAGGCAGTAGGATCACAGATACAAACCCACTTTGGGCAATTTAGTGATTTAACAAGACCCCATCTCCAAATAAAGTAGGGCTGGGGCTATAACTCAATGCAAAAGCTGCAGGACAGTTCGGTTCCCCAACACCACAAGCAAACAAAATCAAGTTTGAGTCCAGCCTTAGCAAGAAAGTCTCAAGATTGAAAGATAGCTCAGTGTGATGGCCCTAGATTCAATCTCCAGAACAATAATAACAACAAAATTCCCAGTGACAGGACACTGTGACTAATTGGATGGGCAATGAGAAAGGAGGGGATTCTAGAGTGCTCTCTGCACTGGTTTGGATAAGTATCCTGCAAAGGTCTATATGTTAGAGAGCTGGTCTCCAGCCAAGGGCCACTACTGGGTGGTGGTGGAACCTTTAAAAGGTGAAGCTGAGGGGGACATTTGATCACTGGGAACATGGCACTGAAGGTGCTCCCCGCTCTTCCTCCTCTTTTGTCTGCTGCTTGGACCTGTGGTGCTGTTTTGCCACAGGCCCCAAAGCAATGCGGTCACTATGGACAGAAACCTCCAAAGCTGTCAGCCAAAACAAACCTTCCTTGTTTGTAAGCTGTTAGAGAAAGCTGACTCAGTCTCCAAATTTCTGACTTTGAATCTCCATTTCTTTTTGCGTTGTTTCTTGTTTTTGCAATACTCAGGACGGGACCCAGGACCTACAAAGTGGACTGCATCTCCAGTCCTTTTATATTTTGACAAAGGGTCTTATTAAATTGCCCAGAGTGGACTTCAGTTTTGATCCTCCTGCCTCAGCGTCCCAGACATAGGCTACCATCCTTCATTTACTTGGTTTTCCAAGAAATACTGATTGACCACCTGCTGTACGTGGGTTACATTAGTGAGTAAGAGAAATAGCATTTAAGTGTTTTAGGTGAAATGCACACTTGAGAGGTTAAAGCAGAAGGAGTGCCATGAGTTCAAGGCCATCCTGAGCTACATAGTAAGTTCAAGTTCAGCGTGGACTACATAGCAAGACTCTGTTTCAAAAAGAGAAGAAAAGAAAAAGAAAGAAAGCAGAATCTCAGTAATGTTGAGATTTGTATTGTAACATCACCCAGACACCTCTCCTTATGTAGGATCTAGTTAGTTGTACGGCCTACTCAGGGTCATAGGACCAGACTAATGCAAATTGTTCTTTGTAATCCAACCAGTGCCACACAGTTACTGCCCAGCTCTTACCCTTACCCATGAGCTCTGTTCCTTACAACCTTTGCCTGAACTTACACAGACAGGAGAACATAGCAGATGGCCTTGGGAGTGTGGCTTCTCTTGCTCAGTATAGT